AGGAAGTTGGCAAGCTTTCCAGCCCCCAGCCACAGCCATGTGGCCACCCCTGGGGCAGAGCACACCCCACCACCCAGCCAGAGTAACATTGCAGCAAGATTCCCCCCATGCCCAGCTGCAAGGCATTACGTTGGTGCAAGTAATAAGCAGAGTGGGAGTGAAAAGGAAGGGTGGGGGTTTTTTTATATATATATATAAATAGAGGCAATATCTAAGGAGGGGAAGTGACTCAGAGGGTCAAAGAGGGAGCAGAACAAGTGGGGAAAAAAACAGAAGCAGCTTCTCCACTGTCAAACATTCCCCAAAGCATGCAGCAACGGGGCAAAGCAGAGACTTAAGGTTAGAAAGGAGGTGGTGGTGGCCAGGGGTGTCAGGGGACAGGGACTTGAGCAGAAAGGGGAGGAAAGAGAGCTGGAGCCCCACGGGGCAGTTCAGGCTCTCAGGTCAAATCCAATGAACTGCTTCTCCAGGCTCAAACTGCCTTCAGCTCCTGCCCGAATCAGGCACAGGATCCACATAGCAGTTCCAACCAGCATGAAGAAGCAGAGCTCCCAGATGCCCACCAGCCCCACTGCTGCCCCATGCCTGGCCAGGGGCTCACCTTGCCAGCACCTGGCATCCTCAGTGATTCACAGTGATGCCCAGCTTGATTTTCTCTTCGTTTTCTATATCATAGACACCCCTCTTGTGACACCTGTGAGGCCAAGCAAAGAGATGCTTAGAGCATGGAGAAGTCCCTGCCACTCTCCCCTGCATGTGGCCTTCCTGGGGATGTGGATCAGATGGCTCATCCCCATCCCACTGACCTGAGCATCAGCAGGGCTGCTATGATGATGAGACACAGGGAGGACAGGACGACAGCAACAACAGCCAGTGCTGTGGTGTGGTCGTACGTGCTGGGGGGGTGCTCCACAGGCAGCGAGAGGCCATGGCATCTCTCTCCATGATATCCTGGCTGGCATCTGGGCAAGAAGAAAAGTCTTAAAGGTTGGTGGTGACCAAGCACAGAAGGTCATTTGGTTCATGGTGACCAAGCACATAAGGTCATTGGGTTCCTCACAACCTCACAGAAAGGGAGCTGCCTCTTTGCTCAGCCTTAGCCAGCACCCTGCCCATTCCCCCTGGTCCCTCTCCCCTGAGCTGCGAGGTCTGGTGTCACCATCATCTCCCTGGTACTGGTAAAGTTTCTCCTGCCCCAAGCACCAAGTTAAGACTCCTAGAAAGGTTGAGCTCCCCGCAGGTAGAAGGCACCAGGGTCTGTGCTCTTCCCAATTGTCCCCAGGCAGAGACAGGCTGCCCAGACTACCTCTGGAAGTGGAAAGTCCCATGCAATGGAGCAGAGAGGCAGCTGAACCAGAGCTCAGTGCTTCCCTCGGAGCAGGATGTCCCTGCACACCCTGCCAGCCAGAGAGGTGCTACCTCACTGCAGACTCAGGAGGTTACTCACATAACAGAAATAACACTCCCCAGCAGAACTACAAGGCTGCCAACTCTCCCCGTGAGTCAAAGCACAGTGATGCGACCAGAGATATATATATCTGTCTATAACCAGTGCCACTGACCCTCAAGCTTATCTCCAAGACAGGGTCTCAGCCCAGCCCTCCTCCCTGGCTCGCAACACCACCATGCACCAGTGTCACCTCCCAGCCATGGCAGCAAGGATGGGCACAAGGCAGAGAGGTACAGGACCCAGCCTGGCAGCACCCTCACCCCACTCTGCACCCCAGAGTTCAGCCGAAGAAAGCAACAATCCAGGAGACCCTGTGACACAGGCAGCCAGCCACCAAGAACACCCACAACTGAGTGATACCAGACAACACTAGGCCTCATTATCAGAGGGGACTGGGGCAGTTGGCCACTGTTCCTAAAAACCATGATGACTCTGGGGAGATGTCACTCAGGGATGGGCCACCAGTCTGGAGAGCCCCAGCTGGCCCCCCCACCCCCCACCCCTCCTGCTTGCTCATGTCCCAGGTCCTCCCCCAGCTCCAGGGATCTGGGAAGGGCAGGAGGCTGGGCAGGGGACCCCTTGCTGTCCCAGTCCTAGGTGGGGGGTGCTGTACCCCACATCATGCTGGGTCACCAGCCCAAGCTGAGCCAGCAGAGATCTCCTCTTGCTGGCAGTCCTGAGCCCCCTGTGCAAAGGCCCAACTTCATGACAGCTTCCAGGCAGAGAGAAGCTAAGCGGTTCAAGGAGCTATGTGGAGCCTGATCCCTGTGGATTGCAGGGCACAAGATCTTGTGGGCACCATAAGCCAGGGAGCTATTATCTTCCCCAGGCTCCAGGCACAGGGCTCAGAGGATTGATAGCAAAGAACAAAGCCTCTTACATATCTGCCAGCTCAACCCCTGCCCACGTCAGCAGGGATCAAATGTGCACCTACCCAGCAGTAAAGGTGCTGGATCCAGGTGACCCAGCAGCAGACAAACACTTTCTCCTCCGCTTGCCTCATCCAGTCCCTGCTCTCTACCTGCATCCCATGGGTGTGGGAGAGGGGTGATACACAGCCTTGTCCTTCATCAGAGCCAAGGGACAGCTTGGGCATGGCTCTAGCAGACTGTCCCCAAAGGTGCTACCTCCAATCCACCTTGCTGGTGCCACAGCAAAGATGCTCCTCCTGCCTGCACCAGTACATCCTGAGAGCTGTGGGAGCCCCAAGCTCTCAGCCAAGGCTGGCAGCAGCAAGGGACAGAAGGATGCAGGGTTACAGAGTCAGAATGGGGTCTTGCAAACCAGACCTGCAAGGAGACCTTGGCTGCGAGACCCCAGCCCCTGCTCAGCATCCTCTGAACCCCACCACTACAGGTCTCCGCTCAGCCAGACCCCACTGTACCAGCAGGGGATGCTGGGTCTAAGTCCATAACAGATTTTGGTGGGGAGGACAGACATTGCTGAAGAAGCACAAGGAAGAGGCCAAGTCAGAGCCGTCCCCACACAGGCAGGGAACATGCACTAAAAATACCTCCTCTGCTCTTCCTCTGCCTGGCCTGGAGAATTGAAGGAACCATGACTAAGGCTCCCCTGGCACAGGCACACGCCAACAACTCACATGCAGGAGGGAGCTCCCAGCTCTTGGATGTATTTGCATTCGCCGTGAATACAGAAATCCTTGTACTTCCGCAGGCACGGGTCTCTCTTCTTCCCCAGGCCTTTGCCTTTTCTTTTTTTATTCCCGTTCCCTTTTTTCTTGGGATTAACCAGGCCTTGAGGCTTTGACAGGAAAGCAACTGGAAAACAATTTGGGAAGGAGAAAACAGCAGTCAGATCACCTCTGTGTGTCAGCCAAAGAGAAGGCAGATCAGCAAACCCCAGGCTGCTGCAGCCAGCTCAGCCCTGGCACTCCCGCAGCCTTTTGTGCAGTGATCTGCCCCCAAGCAGAGTGTTTGGGGGCAGTTTTTTGGGTTGGTTTGGTTTTTTTTTTTCCCCAGCTTCTCACAAATATCATGGCCTTTCTGATTCATAAGAACAATTCTCAAGGAAAGAAAGGAATGGGGGGGGGGGGGGCATTATGCATCTCAAATGTTGCTATTATATGCACCAGTTTCCACTGAACACAGAAAATTGCTAATTGCCAGTTTATCTGGCTTTTATTTCCCTTATGAGTGCAGTCTTTTGTAAGACCCTGTTCATGGCTCTGATGGACTCTCCTTCCTGTGGATACAAGGATGCCTTGTGCACCCAGAGCAGGATTAAGAGAGCAAGCTGGGCTTAATTTTCGGTTTTGCAGAACCAAAGAGATGGCAAGGACAGCATTTGCATGAATTACAAAGGTATGTTTTAATTGCGGTACAGAGACCAGTGGCTTTTGATGCAAGGCCAGCTCCCTGCTGGGTTGATGGAACCAGAGCACTGAGCCCCTCGCCTGGACACAGACTGAAACCAGCAACATTATTGGAATAGTTTTTAAGATGTGTACATGCCCCAAAAAATCAGCCCCCAGCTTGATCTTGCAAGGTGCCGAGATGCTAGAGACCGCTCCCTGCTCCGAGAGGGACTGTTCAGCTACCCCCCAAACCACAGCACTTAATAACTCCGGTAACCCTGGGGAAGCATGAACTAAGCCCTGTGCTGCTCAGGGAGGAGAGGGTGGCTGAGTCTAACCCAGCGAGTTGTAACCTGCCTAATTCCTTCTCAGCCACTTCCTGGCATAATCCAGCCCATCTTGTCCCTGGTGCGCCTCTCATGCTGCAGCACACCGGTTGCACACCTAGCAAAGTTATTTTGCTATTTCAACATCCTTCACACTACACCTGGAGAAACCAGGAAACTCTGTGGCTTGGAGAAACCCCCAGATCCAGGTGAGGCTCAGGGCTCTGTCCCAGACTGGCAGCAGAGGCTGTCCCCTTCCCTGCAGGTTCTCTCTCAGCTGCAGCCAGCAGACACACAGTGCTGCTGACCCCCCCAAGCTACCTGCGCTGTCACCACTCCTCCCCAGGACTCCATCCCTTAGAGCAGCCAGAGAAGATTTGGAAGATCATGCTGGTAGGAAAACTGGTCCAACGCAGGTGGGCAGGGGGATGCTGCCACTCTCCCCCTACTCAGACACCCTGGAGGCTGCAGCACAGAGGAAGGTGCCTTCAACACAAAAGGCAGATTTTTCTGACTGTAGCTCAGCTCAAGGCATCAAGAAAGCGCTCTGAGAGGCTGCAGCCTCAGTAACCAAATACCCCCCCCCATCCCCTCAGCCTGTCCCACAGACAAGGGTTAGCCCACACTTGCCAGATCCCTTGTTCTAGGACAAGGTGCCCTCCTTAGGGGGATGCAGAGAAGAGCAGGCTGGAGCATCTCCTTCCCAGCAGGAAGGGTAACAGTGTTTCCTGGGAGCTGCGTCCCCTTGGATGCAAGGGGGTCAGCCTAGTTTTGTAGGTTTTTCGTTGCAGTCTGATAACATAACCAGAAAGCAAAGAAAAACACAGAAAAAAGGGAGGATGAACTGTATGGGGCATAGCACGCTCCTCCTGGTACCAGGTTACTGATCTCAGCATGTCACACCTACAAGGCACAGGTCACCCTACTCAGCCTGCAATGGCCCCCATACCAGCCCCACAAGAGTCCCTGGGACATTCTCTAGTCCCAAGCCAGGGGGAGAGGAGCCAAACATGAATGCTCAGCGAGCCTAACAGAGCAACAGTGTCCCTAACGCCCCCGTAATGGGGACTGCTGGCTGACTAACCCTGCCTGGGTATGAGGAGCAGCCATGTGTAGAAAAAAACGGGGCCCCTTTGCCCGCCAGCCACTGGTGGCCACCATCCGGAAGGCAGTACAGGCCCACTAGCCTGGGCTGCGCACCTGCGGGCAGGGGCTGACATGACCCCCAGAAGGGCTCTGCCTTCCATCTGGCCAAGGAGTTGCAGGCCTGGGAACCTTTGGGACCCCCGTGCCAGGGACTTTAGGGACACAGAGAGCCCCTGGCACAAGGCTAAGAGCTGCCAAAGCTCAGTTGCTCCGTGCTAGTGCCCAACGGGCTGGCCCCACTCAGG